GATGATGGAGACTTAAATCCAACTAGCAGAGTCACTTTTTTTATTAGCTACTTGGCATGATATAAGAGTCTAGAGTTGCTGAATTTATCAACTCCTGAGGAAGGGGATTGCTTTCCCCGAAACAGGGTACAAAAATACCCGGGCACCCCTGTAGAATGCCATTGGGACTTTTCTTTGAAGACTTATTTTGAGAAGCAGTGCTCCATTTTTCACTGGACTTGAGTTGGATCTTTTCCATGAAGATTGTTTTGAGAGTGACGCTTCATCTTCATTATTGTCTTCAGCTTACATATAGCCTCATGACTCTATACTTACTTTGTTTATATGACTTTTTGCATTGAATGTATCCCTGAAGGTTATACACAGTGGAATCCCTATCCAAACCCAGAACTGTTACGTTTGAGAGCGGTTGCTCCTTTTGATTTCTGTGTACCACTGAATTGAGCTTTGTACTGGGGATTTTGGTAAATAGAATATCATATGTTTTCTTGATAATACACTTTGACATTACGCATAGATTGTTTTGTGTTTGTACTGATATCTTACAAGTACTCTGGGATATTGTGTAGTAACTATAAATCCCAGCAACTACAACTCCCAAATGACAAAATCATAATTTTTTGAGTGATGGTCACTTTTTGTGTTGTGAGATGTTTTGTTGCCAAATTTGGTGTGATTTCGTTCATTGGTTCTTTTGTTTTTAAGGTACTCATTACGCACAGAGCATTTATATATATATAGATTTATTTATTAATTTAGGGCTTTTATATCCCGTCCTTTCTCAACCTCCACAGAGGGACTCAGGACGGCTATTTTGGGATACTGGTGCTGATAAGTTACTCTGCTGTACATTTATGAGGAGGGTCTGTTGTTAATAAGCCCACTTGCCCAACAAAGGAAATAGAAAAATAAGAGCCACAAAGGAAATGCATAGCCAGTCAATGCCAGATATATATGCACTGTAGGATCCCCCTACATAACAACAGCATGTGGTGTTTGCCAACTCACACAAAAACCGACAGCAAAAGAAAATTCTAAAAGGGGAAACCTCAACTGTTAGTATAATAATTTTTAGTCCAACTCAAAAGTCCCAAAATATGTACAGGCTTTCTTTTGTCTCCAGAACTTGTCATTGGGCAAGACATTAAACAAAGCCAAAGGGGAAACATTGTTGATGTGTTGGGGCATCTTGGTACACACTTATGATGAGAAGTGTATGGATACAGTCACAAAATTAGGCCCTACTAGGAAATAAGGTTGTTTCACAAAGCAGAAATCCTTCCTTGGGTTACGGGTGAAAGGCAGAGCGGGGATAATAATTTAACCTTTTCCCAGTAGGAAACTCAGCTGTTGTCTTAATCGTTTGTGTCCACAAGCAAAACATACAGGTTCCTTGCCAAGTGAGTATGTTAAAGTGGAACCACAATGCCACTGGATGTCAAAACCATATTTATTTATTTAGGCAGAATATTTATTTATGTAGGCAGAATATTTTGCTCTTCCAGATATTTTGAACTATAATCCCCATAGACCAGGCATGGGCAAACTTTGGCCGCCCGGGTGTTTTGGACTTCAACCCACAATTCCTAACAGCCTACCAGCCATTAGGAATTGTGGGAGTTGAAGTCCAAATCACACAGATGGCCCAAGTTTTCCGATGCCTGCCACAGACCATGCAGAACAAAGCTAATGTGAGTTTCAGCCCAAAACAACTACAGAAGGAAGAATTCCCCATCCTTTTGCTAATACAATCCACACTTGGCTTAGTATTTAAACATTGTGAAAGTTCTCAAACGAAATGGAAGCATGCTGGGAATGCAGAATAGCAATCGGATGACTAATTAGCACAAAACAGGAAGTCTGAATGCACCATCCAAGTTTTCCAGGAAGACGGTCTACTACATATAAACATTGGACAAAAAAGATCCAATGTACTGTCATAGGCTTTCATGGCCAGAATCACTGGATTGTTGAGTTTTCCGGGCTGTCTAGCCATGTTCCAGAACATTATCTCCTGACGTTTCATCTGCATCAGAGGGTGTGATCTGCCTGCCACAGATACAGGTAAAACATCAGGAGAGAATGCTTCTGGAACATGGTCAGACAGGCCGAAAAACTCACAACAACCCAAAGAAGATTCAAATTCCAAATACAGGCATACCTCATTTAACAAAGCCTCCTTGGCTTTCACAAATTCATTCATTCCTTGTTCTGTCTTTCTGGAAGTTTTGCTAAAACAACAAACAGTCTTGAGTGCTTAAAACCACAACCAAATGGAATTTTCAATACCAGAAGAGATTGTTTTCTTACCTAATTTAATATTAGTTTTTTTTCTTTTTTAAACATCAGTATAATTAACATCAGAGTGAAAAGGTAATCACTGTGAACAGTTAATACTAACCAATCCCATCAGTTGCAGCTCCTTCCGTTAACATTCCTCAAAAATGGGTTGTATTGCCAACTACAGAATGTCAGAAAAGATTGGTCGATGCCAGTGGTTCTCAACCTGTGGGTCCACAGGTATTTTGGCCTCCAGCTGACAGAAATCCCAGCCAGTTTACCAGCTGTTAGGATTTCTGGGAGTTGAAGGTCAAAACATCAGGGGACCCACAGGATGAGAACCACTAGTCTATGCCTTCATTTATAATGCATTTATGTGGATTTCAGGTGTAGACTCTTTGGAGGGGCATCTTGGCTGGCAAGAAACATGTCAATCATTGTGCTGTCAAAGGCTTTCATGGCTGGAATCATTGGGGTGCTGTGAGTTTTCCAGGCTGTATGGCCATGTTCCAAAAGCATTCTCTCGACGTTTCGCCCACATCTATGGCAGGCATCCTCAGAGGTTGAAAGGTCTGTTGGAAACTAGGCAAGTGGTGTTTATATATCTGTGGGATGACGTCCAGGGTGGGAGAAAGAACTTTTGTCTGCTTGACTGTTGACTGGTCACCTTAACATTTAAGCTTTAACTATTACATCTGGCCAGGCCATAGGTTTTTAAATCCTTGTGTGTTACTGTCTATGTGTGAGTTATACTAATTATATTGTTTATTTTGCTTATTCCCTGTTGTTTTTATTGATGTGTTGTTGTTGTTGGGCTTGGTCTCATGTAAGCCGCTCCGAGTCCCTTGGGGAGATGGTGGCAGGGTATAAATAAAGTTTATATTATTATTGTTATTATTATTATTAATGGTCTTGCAGCTTCAAAGCCTGAATGGCTGCTGTGTGGGGGAGTCCTTTGTTGGGAGGTGTTAACTGGTCCTGATTGTTTCCTGTCTGGAATTCCCCTGTTTTCTGAGAATTATTCTGTATTTATTGTCCTAATTTTATAGTTTTTAATACTGGTAGACAGATTTTGTTCATTTTCATGGTTTCCTCCTTTCTGTTGAAATTCTCCACATTCTTGTGGGTTTCAATGGCTTCTCTGTGTAGCCTGACACGGTGGTTGTGAGAATGGTCCAGCATTTCTATGTTCTCAAATAATATGCTGTGTCCAGGTTGGTTCATCAGGTGTCCTGCTATGGCTGGCTTCTCTGGTTGAGTAAGTCTGCAATGTCTTTCATGTTCCTTGATTTGTGTTTGGGCAATGCTGCTGTTTGGTGGTCCCTCTGTAGACTTGTCCACAGCTGCATGGGATACGGTAGAGTCCTGCAGAGGTGAGAGGATCCCTCTTGTCCTTTGCTGAACACAGCATTTGTTGGATTTTCTTAGTGCCTCTGTAGATGGTTTGTATGTTGTGTTTCTTCCCTATGCGGTGAGTGATTCCCTTGATGTATGGTAATAACACTTTTCTTCTAGGTGGATATTTGCTTTGACTCTTGTTCTTGGTCCTGAACCACCTCAACTGGGCTCTGCAGGCCAATGGAGACTCCACCACAGGCATCAGAAGAGCTGCAAGACCAAGAACAAGCCACGAAGTCAAGACAAAGATCCACCCAGAGAAAAGTGTTCTTACCATACATCAAGGGAACCACAGACCACATAGGGAAGCTGCTGAAGAAGCACAACATACAAATCATCTACAGACCCACTACAAATATACAACAAATGCTCCATTCAGCAAAGGCCAAAAAGAATCCTCTCACCTCTGCAAGGCCTCTACCGTATACCATGCAGTTGTGGATGGGTCTAAGAACATGAAAGGCACTGCAGACTAATTCAACCAGAGAAGTCAGCCATAGCAGAGCACCTGCCCTATCTCTCCAAGGGGACACAGGGCATTTTACAACAAAAATTTGGCAAACATTCCATGCTGGCATAGCATAACAAACAGATAAAAAAAATCAAGGCGCTCAATTGCAACATTCACACTTGCCTCAAACGGACAAGACTTCTTTCTCCCTCCCTGGACATTTCAAAGATCCTCATTTGCCTAGTTTCCAAAAGACATCACAACCTCTGTGGATGCCTACCATAGATGAGTGCAAAACTTCAGGAGAGAATGCTTCTGGAACATGGCCATATATTCTGGAAAACTCAGGAACCCAGTGATTCCAGCCATGAAAGCCTTCAACAACACATTGAACATCTCTACAGGAAGAAACTGTCTCAAGACACAGAGATTGGAAAAGCCAGAGACCAGGAACCTCTGGGAATGCCTGCCATAGATGTGGGCGAAACACTGGGAGAGAATGCTTCTAGAACATGGCCAGACAGCCTGGAAATCTCAGCAACCCAGTGGTTCCGGCCATGAAAGCCTTTGACAACACACACCACATAAGCTTGTTCATTTGCCTCTTCTCTTGAAATACTGTATATGACAGCCTAAACATTGTTAATGTACCTGAAAGATTTGTAGAAACCTCTTTTGAGGTTGGAAGAAGAATTCACAGCAACATATGTCAATCATTATTGGGGAGCCTATAGCTATCCAGATATAGTTGGCTAGGACCAATTAGAATTGGAGCCAAACAAGTGGAATGCCACAAGTTCCCCATCACAGCTGCAAATAGATTCAACCCAAGTTGGTATACAGGAGAAAAAAATGCAGAACACTTTTGGGATTTTTTTTAAAGTAAAGCGTTTTTTAATAGCTTTTCAAGCACAGGGAATAATGTTGCTGCTCTTCTCCTCCAAGATCATGGAATAAGTACTACCCCACTCACCATCCACAGCAGCTGGATGATAGGAAGCAGGTATTCTCCCTCATCCCGTGTCATCTCCTCTATTTTCGCGAATAGAACATAACAGGGAATGTTAAGGCCATTGCAATGGAGGGTTTACAATCCCGCCACCTTAAAAAAAGGAACTTGGGACAGATTTTGTAACTTAGCTACAACCACTTGCCCAAGGGAGTTAATGTGTCACTTAGCAGGGAGATTAATGCTGTTAGTTATACCAGGCATGGTCAAACTTGGGCCCTCCAAGCGTTTTGGACTTCAATTTCTACAATTCCTAACAGCTGGTAGGGTTTTTGGAATTGTGGGAGTTGAAGTCCAAAACACCAGGAGGGCCCAAGTTTGCTCACTGATACCAATTCATTTAAAGACTGGCGGGGAGGAACACTTCTGTGGTGATCTGGGAGGCCATTTTGAATCCAAACTGTTGAGAACGAATGGGGACAATATGCTTTGGGTATGAACGTGTGGAGTGTTTTGACAGAAATACTCAAGTATTCCTCCCAAACATCAGGAAGGATGGCAAGGACAACAGATACCAGCTTTGCTTCCCTTCATGGTCTAAGAAGATTGTTTTGTTTACCTATCCTTAGGCAAAACGTGTATTCCTTGCTCTTTGCTACAAAAGGGGATAAGAGTGAGTTATGAAAGGTTTTGGGAGAGCTTCAACTGAGGGGTTAAAGGGCCAAATTTGCTTCTTTGCCTACCACAGCCTCCAAATAAGAGAGGTAAATAGTCTACCTTGGTACAGAAAGGAGGAGAAAGGGGAAAATGTCACTGCCCTCTGGATAGGGCCAAAGGCACAGGCCGGTCCAGCCTCACATCCCCCAAAAGATGCAGCTCCATCCTTGCCATATAGTAAGGAAGGTACCTGTCTGAATGTCGGAAACTGGACACTAGCGTGTTAATATGGTCTGCTTATAAAAAGAAGTGGGATAGAGGCAAGAATTTTCACTTTTCCGAATCTCAAAACGAGAGCATACACGTGGGTTATGGAAGTGTTGCCAGATCCTGGTCCCGGCCATTACACATACCCATTGGATTACACCTCGTTTGGGATGGAGCGGGGCGGGTGGGTGGGAGCAAAGTCATTCACAGCGTAGTCCCAAATGGTATTGCACTCGAGTCATTGGTGGTCCCACTCCACGCCAACAGCAAAAGGTCACAATGGGCAGGAATTGGTCCCTTCGGTGCCAGGCACGACGTAGGCAATTTGCTGGCCACCAAAGAGAGCAAGAGAGTCCAGTGTCCAAACACAGCACTGAGGAAGGAGGATGTGGAAGAGGATGAGAATATAAGCCACCGCTTTCGTCAGGCTAGGAACACCACAAAGATGATGAAGAACACAATGAGGATGAGGAAGATCTTCACCATCAGCCACCGGTTGGAGGTAACAGACTGGAAGTACTTCAGAATCTCTGTGTGCGCGCCTTCGACATTGAGCTGGGCATCTTCCACGTTGGCGTCAATTCTGTTGCAGCAGTAAAAAGAAAGCACGACAAAACACAAAAGCACAAAATAAGACTAGTTTTACACAGAATCAAAACAGCCCAAAAAACTCACGGCAACCCAAGCCGTGAAAGCCTTCAACAACACATACTGTATATACTCGAGTATACGCTGACCCAAATATAAGCCGAGGCACCTAATTTTACCACCAACAACTGGGAAAATGTATTGACTTGAGTATAAGCCAAGGGTGGGAAATACAACAGCAACTGGTCAATTTACAACATAAAAATAGATACCAAAAATTACATTAATTGAGGCATCAGTAAGTTAAATGTCTCTGAATATTTACTGTATTTCAAAGTACAAAAAAGGGAACTAGTTCTGTAAGTGGAAAGGTAGGGTCAACAAAAGCAATATGGGCTCAACAATAAATAATAACAATAAAACTTCATTTGTATCCCGCCTTATCTCCTCATGGAGACTCAGGCAGGTTTCCAACATAGTAACAGGCAAACATTCAATGCCTATATAAACAATGCAGAGCTAGATATAGATCTATAATGATATATACTAATTTGACATATGCATTTTCCCATGAAACATTTGCACATCCTATCTCTATATGTGCATTACCCTCCTGCAATATTTGCAAGCCCTATATATCTATGTTTATAACTATCTAGACCAGTGTTTCTCAACCTGGGGGGTCACGACCCCTGGGGGGGTGATGAGGGGATGTCAGAGGGGTCGCCAAAGACAGTATTTTCTGTTGGTCGTCGGGGTTCCATGTGGGAAGCTTGGTCCAATTCTATCCTTGGGGTGGTTCAGAATGCTCTTTGATTATAGGTGAACTATACACCCCAGCAACTACAACTCCCAAATGTCACGATCTATCTTCCCCAAAGCCCACCAGTATCCACATTTGGGCATATTGAGTACTCGTGCCAAGTTTGGTCCTGATCCATCATTATTTGAGTCCACAGTGCTCGCTGGATGTAGTTGAACTACAACTCCAAAACCCAAGGTCAATGCCCACCAAACCCTTCTAGTATTTTCTGTTGGTCATGGGAGCTCTTTGTCCCAAGTTGGGTTCAATTCCATCATTGGCGGAGTTCAGAATGCTCTTTGATATTGTAGGTGAACTATAAATCCCAGTATCTACAACTCCCAAATGACAAAATCAATCCTCCCCTCAACCCCACCAGTATTCAAATTTGGGCGTATCGAATATTTGTGCCCAATGAATGAAAATACATCCTGCATATCGGATATTTACAAGATGATTCATAACAGGAGCAAAATTACAGTTGTGAAGTAGCAATGAAAATATTGTTAAGGTTGGGGGTCACCACAACATGAGCAACTGTATTAAGAGGTCACGACATTAGGAAGATTGAGAACCACTGATCTAGACATCTCTCTCTATATATATGTGTGCGTGTGTGTGCATTTCCCCTGCAATATTTGCAAGCCCCATATATCTATATTGATATCTATCTAGACATGTCTATATATTTGTGTGTGCATTTCCACCCTGTAATATTTGCAAACCCTATATATCTATATCCATATATATCTATTGAGACATCTCTCTATATAGAGAATTATATCTATATAGGATTTACAAAGACTTGCAAACATGTGAGGGAAGAAATTAATATATAAAACGATTTTTATATATGCACATACACAGATATATAGGTATATAGGTATCTCTATATACTTATTGATATCTATACCTATATAGGATTTGCAGACTTGCAAACATGTGAGGGGAAAATCATATATAAAAATAATGTATAAATATAGATACAGATATACAGGTACATGGAAATCTCTAGACATCTATCTATCTATCTATCTATCTATCTATCTATCTATCTATCTATCTATCTATAAGATTTGCAAAGGACTGCAAACATATAATGGGGATAATTCATATATATTATTAATTTATATAAATAGATACAGATATATAGGTACATAGGAATTGCAAAGGCTTGTAGGAGGAAATGCCTATATATCTGTACAAGAGATTAACAAATACTTCAGGGGAAATGCTTTTATAAATAATGGATACATATGGTTTGCAAAGACTTCAGGAGAAACATGCATATATAGAAACATATTTATAGATATATAGGGCTTGCAAAGGCCAGTGAACATTTCCAAGGGAACAAAAATGCACATACAAAGTTAATACATTTAGATATACAGAAATCGGCCTTGCAAAAGATTTGAAGGGAAATTGATACATAAGATGAATATGCATACACATACACACAGAGATAATACAGGGCTTGCAAAGATTTCTAGGGGGGAAATCTATATAAGCAGTGTGAGAGAGGATTTGGAAAAGAAGACAACACTCTGATGCTTGGCTTGGGAGGTTTTTTCAGCACAAATAAAGGCCTGGAAAACTTGCTTGTCTTTGAGCATATATGGTAATCAAAACACTTTCCAAACATCACTCTGTGATTCTATAATATTGAGAGGATGACATCTGCTTTAGACCCTGCACACTGCCCGCTTTAAAGAAGTTAAACCTAAATTATATTCTTCTGGGGATGAAAGACAAGAAATAGGCCATGTCCTCAATCTTAAAAAACCTGAATAAGCCTTTATGCCTGTACCTCTGGATGGTTTCTTCCTGCTCTTTGACCATGTGTGCCAGCTGCTGGAATATGGACCCCAGCTCTACGATGGTTGATTCAATGTTCTGCATGGTGTCTGCCCGACTCTGGATATACGAATCCTGCAAAAAGAAACAAAGGAATGTAGGCATTGTGCAGGCTGGGGAACTCCACAGATCCCTCCCTCCAATTTCGCCTTTGCTATTTATTTATCGTGTCAGAAGCGAATTGAGAATACAGTTATAATGTTTTTAAAAGCACAAACAAAGTTAAAAACTTGGCATTATATTAAATGTCCTTTGACCAGAAGCTGGCCACTTGGAGTGCCTCTGGTGTGGCTGTGAGAAGGTCCTCCCTTGTGCCTCTGCATTGTAGTAGGTGGTCTGTGGTTTGCTCTTCTCTGCACTCACATGTTGCAGACTCCACTTTGTGGCCCCCTTTCTTAAGGTTGGCTCTGCATCTCATGGTGCCAGAGTGCAGTCTGCTCAGCGCCGTCCAAGTCATCCAATCCTCTGTGTGCCCAGGCGGGAGTCTCTCATTTGGTCTCAACCACTGAACAAGATTCAAAACGATCTTGACAGATTAGAGAAATGGGTCAAAACTAACAAAATGAAGTTCAACAGGGACAAATGCAAGGTACTCCACTTAGGTAGAAAAAAATGAAATGCAAAGAGAGCAGTACGTGTGAAAAAGATCTTGGAGTCCTCGTGGACAACAAGTTAAACATGAGCCAACAATGTGATGTGGCGGCAAAAAAAGCCAATGGGATTTTGTCTTGCATCAATAGGAGCATAGTGTCTAGATCTAGGGAAGTAATGCTACCCCTCTATTCCGCTTTGGTTAGACCACACCTGGAATATTGTGTCCAATTCTGGGCACCACAATTCAAGAGAGATATTGACAAGCTGGAATGTGTCCAGAGGAGGGCGACTAAAATGATCAAGGGTCTGGAGAACAAGCCCTATGAGGAGCGGCTTAAGGAGCTGGGCATGTTTAGCCTGAAGAAGACAAGGCTGAGAGGAGATATGATAGCCATGTATAAATATGTGAGAGGAAGCCACAGGGAGGAGGGAGCAAGCTTGTTTTCTGCTTCCTTGGAGACTAGGACGCGGAACAATGGCTTCAAACTACAAGAGAGGAGATTCCATCTGAACACGAGGAAGAACTTCCTGACTGTGAGAGCTGTTCAGCAGTGGAACTCTCTGCCCTGGAGTGTGGTGGAGGCTCCTTCTTTGGAAGCTTTTAAACAGAGGCTGGATGGCCATCTGTCAGGGGTGATTTGAATGCAATATTCCTGCTTCTTGGCAGGGGGTTGGACTGGATGGCCCATGAGGTCTCTTCCAACTCTTTGATTCTATGACCTGCCACTTTTGGACTTGCTTGCTGAGGTGTTCCTGCGAGTATATCTGTAGATCTTAGAAAGCCGTTTCTTGGCCGAAGCAAAAAGTGATGGTACCATCATCAGGGGCTTTGAGGGAAGGGGCAGTGTTTGTTTCTCCTGTTGCCTCTGGCTCAGCTCCTGTGGACTCACTCCTGGCAGAACCGAGGCCCTGACTCTGCAGCTCAAGGCCAGCAACAACACCTGCTTGCCCCAGAAGCTGGGGCATAAAAAGAACCATGCCTGCAGGGCCTCAGGCCTAAGCAAGAAGTGAAGGTACCATCACCAGAGGCTTTGAGGGAAGGGGCAGCGTTTATTTCCCTTGCTGCCTCTGGCTCAGCTTCTGGGGACCGCTTGTTGCTGCTGGACTCTATCTTGACTGGCCTCCATTTCAGCATCCTTAGGTCAGCACAGAGATACCAACATTTGTTTCTTCCAGCCATGGCCCTTGATCTACCTGAGCCTTCTCTTGAGTGAACACTGCCACCCCGGTGTGGCATCTCATTCTTCCCCTGATGTTATAGAACTCCAGTATGCTGATGACAATGTCATCTGTGCACATTCAGAAGAAGACCTACAAGCCACTCTAAACACTTTCACAGAAGCATACGAGAAGCTCGTCCTGTCATTGAACATCGAGAAAACCAAAGTGCTCTTCCAGCAGTCACCAGCCAACCCCTTTCCAATACCAGAGTTACAGCATAATGGTGTAACATGAGAAAATGTTGACCAGGTGGCTACCTTGGCAGCCACCTCTCCACCAAACTCAATATCGACACCAAAATTCAACACCACCTGAGCTCTGCAAGTGCAGCATTTTTCCGAATGAAGCAGAGAGTGTTTGAGGACTGGGACATCCGTAGGGCTACCAAGCGGCTTGTTTATAAAGCTATTGTCCTCCCTACCCTGCTATACGCCTGCGAGATGTGGACTGTCTACAGACGTCACATGCAACTCCTGGAACAATTCCATCAGCGCTGCCTCCAGAAAATCCTGCAAATCTCTTGGGAAGACAAGCAGACAAACGTCAGCATGCTGGAAGAAGCAAAGACCACCAGCATTGAAGCAATGGTCCTCCGCCATCAACTCCACTGGACCGGCCACGTTGTCCGGATGCCCGACCACCGTCTCCCAAAGCAGTTGCTCTACTCCGAACTCAAGAACGGAAAACTGAATGTTGGTGGGCAGGAAAAGATATTTAAAGACCAGCTCAAAGCCAACCTTAAAAACTCTGGCATAGACACTGAGAACTGGGAAGCCCTGGCCCTTGAGCGCTCCAGCTAGAGGTCAGCTGTGACCAGAAGTGCTGCAGAATTTGAAGAGGCATGAATGGAGGGTGAAAGAGAGAAACGTGCCAAGAGCAAGGCGCATCAAGCCAGTCCTGACTGGGACCGCCTTCCACCTGGAAACCAATGCCCTCACTGCGGGAGAAGATGCAGGTCAAAAATAGGGCTCCACAGTCACCTACGGATCCACAAGAATACTGATCCTGGAAAACTATCCTACTCGGCCAACGAGGGATCGCCTAAGTCAGTAAGTAAGTATGGACCTTTTCAAAGGATCCTTCACAATAGGGAGTAAATTTCAGATCAAAACGTGTCGTTTGATCTCTTTTTTTGTCAATTGATGTATTCCTGCCCGCAGGCCATATTGTTTTAAATGTGTTTAAGAACAATTATTGCATAAATGAACCAATACGGATAGGGAATCAAGCCATTTTGTTTAGCACATGTGTCAATAAAGGCTGTCATTCCATTCATTTGTTGTCCTTTACCCTCCAAATCTCATAATTACCATCTGCGCAAACTTTTGAGAAAAGGCAACGCTTGCATTTCAAATATGTGGTTCGAAGCCAATGTGACACAAAGTAAAATACACCCCTAAAGGAAAATCAGAAAGTCTCTCCGTTCTTTTGTCCTGCCTGTTTCCTGCCTATGGCTCCCCATCTCAAGGCACCTGTTCATTGATGAGCTGCAACTGCTGGCTGGTCCGGCTGTCCATGTCGATAGCCACATCTCCCGAATGCCGTGGTTCGTCCTGAAGCATAGCGGAGCCACCTGCGGAACCCGTAATGATCCCAAAATGTCAGAAAGTCCCACTGGAGTAAAAGCGCTTGACATTTCTAATTCCCTCCTGCCCTACCCCAAAAATATTACATTTCCCCATTCTGTGAGCTATTAGGCTGAGCTATGCACAGACTTACTTAGGTTACTTGCGGAGAGGGGCATGGCAGAAACAGCCGGGCGGGAAAACTGTTCTCGGCGAGTCTTCTGCTGCTTGAGATTCTAAAGAAGGAAACAGAGAGCAGGCAAAACAAGACAGTTTGAGAAGTTGTGGAAAGCAAGCAGGCAAGGAAACAAAGTTTTTTCGATGCTTCTGAAGACAAATTGCGGGTAATGCAAGCTTGAGGTTACTATGTCCTATTTGAAGATTTCCCAGTTAAAAATATTACAGATGATATTATTATCTGTTTGGCCACCACAATTTCTGGATTACTGTATATACTCGAAGATAAGCCAAGTTTTCCAGACCTTTTTATGGGCTGAAAAAGCCTCCCTCAGCTTACAATGGGGACAATCCGGGCAGCCATTGCTTACAATATATGATCTATTTCTCTCTCCTCTTCCCTTCCCTAAACAGTATGTTTTCTTTTTTGTTTCTGCTTTGCTTCTCCTCCCAGGCTGGAATGTTTTGAAAATGGAAAAGAAGGGGAGAGAAGCCCTTGCAAGTCAGGAAGTCACCTTATCAAAGCATTTCCTCCTGAAATATTTGTTGATCTCTCCTACAGATATATAGGCCTTTCCCTCTGCAAGCGTTTGCAATCGCTATGTACCTATATGTCTGTATCTATCTATACACATTCATTGTATATATGAATTTCCCCTCATATGTTTGCAGGTCTTTGCAATTCCTATATACATACTTCCCCTTGCAAGTCTCTGCAAATCCTATATAGGTATCAATACATATACAGAGGTACCTATATATCTGTATACCTCTGTGTATATTATATGTGTATATATTAAAATAATATTAATTTTCCCCTCAAATGTTTGCAAGTCTTTGCAAATCCTATATAGATATAATTATCTATATAGAGAGAGAGTTGTCTAGATTTTTTTTTTTTTGGTCGTGTCAGGAGTTGCTCTTGTGAGAGAATTGACCATCTGCAAGGACGTTGCCCAGGGGACGCCCGGATGATTTGATGTTTTTATCATCCTTGTGGGAGGCTTCTCTCATGTTCCCACATGAGGAGCTGGAGCTGATAGAGGGAGCTCATCCGCCTCTCCCCGGATTCGAACCTGCGACCTGTCGGTCTTCAATCCTGCCAGCACAGGGCTTTAACCCACTGCGCCACCGGGGGCTCCATGTGTAGATAGATATATATGAATATAGATATATAGGGCTTGCAAATATTTCAGGGGAAATGCACAAACACATACACATATATAGAGAGAGAAATGTGTTGACAGATATGAATATAGATATATAGAGCTTGCAAATACTGCAGGAGGGAAATGTACATATATAGAAAGAGGATTTGCAAACATTTCAGGGAGAAATGCATATGTGAAATATATATAATTATAGATCTATATCTAGCTCTGCATTGTCTATATAGGCATTGAATGTTTGCCTGTTACTATGTTAGAAGCTGGCTTGAGTCCCCATGCAGAGATAGGGCAGGATACAAATTAAGTTATATTATTATTATTATTGACACAAATGCACAGTATGTCACAGCAAACGAACACTTCCCAAGCATCTAGGACTGTGTGATGTATTTTTAAATGATGCGTGCAGATCCAAGTCAGGTGGCCTTTTGCAGTTGACAGATTGTGATTTTGCCAATGTTTATTGTTTCCAAATGCCGGCTGAGATCTTTTGGCATGGCAACCAGTGCACCAATGACCACTAGGACCACCCGTACTGGTTGATGCCAGAGCCTTTGCAATTCGATTTTGAGGTCTTGATAGCGGCTGAGTTTTTCCTGCTGTTTTTCCTCAATGCGACTGTCACCCAGAATGGCGACATCAATAATCCAGACTTTTTTCTTTTTCACAATCTTGATGTCTGGTGTATTGTATTCCAAAACTTTGTCAGTCTGGATTCAAAAGTCCCACAGTATTTTTGCATGTTCATTTTCCATGACCTTTGCGGGTGTATGTTCCCACCAATTCTTTGCTGCTGCTATTATTATTATTATTATTATTATTATTATTATTATTATTATTATTATTATTATATTGATACCATATTGTATTTGTTGACCCTCCTTTTCCACTTGCAGAACTAGTTGACTGTTTTTCTTTGAAATACAGTAGCTGCTGCACTTCCCACCCCCGGCTTAGACTCGAGTCAATATGTTTTCCCAGTTTTTGTGATAAAATTAGGTGCCTCGGCTTATTCAGGTCAGTTTATACTCCAGTCTATACGGTAAGTAGGCCTCCAGTTTGTTCCAATGTGCAGAGCTTAGAAAAGTTACTTCTCTGCAATTCTAAGAACGCCCCTGCCAGGATGGCCGATGACTTCCAGCCCAAAACTTTCCCAAAATTTGAGTTCAATGGGCAAGTCTTGAGTGTTATTCTAGTTTTTCTACTATCCCAAAAGGCTCGCATATCAGTTAGTGCCACACTGGATCATCTTTATGTCTTTGGGCAGCATGGCCATCCATACAGTGATCCAATTTTCCCAAAGATTTTGATTCATCTTTGATGTGTCTCATAAGTAATGTGTCTAAAAGGTGTTTGTTGGCTCCCTCTTTTCCAAATGGGAATAATTGGCAACACAGTCAAAGGTGCACAGTTTGTCTTTGTCTTTAGTACAGTTTGATGTCAAGAGTTGCCTTGCTAGAATCCTAAGCAGCTACAATTAGTATGCTCTTATCAGCTAATAGTCAAATTGGAGAGAAATGAATAACGCCTGACTTACCTCTGTCCGCACCTCCAAAACAGACTTGAAGTCATTGGACATGGAGGCTAGCTTGGACTGGGAAAAGAAGATAGAATGGCAAGGAAGTCAAAAACACACCCTCACTTTCATTTTATCTCTGCTTTCCCAACCCCCTATGAACAATCTTTGGTCTTGCAGTGTCTTTGCCTTCAGCTCCACCTATCATGACCAATAAGGGATTAGATACAGTCCAGTCTAGCTTAGTATGTGCTGCTCTGAGTCCCCTTCGGGATGAGAAGAGCAGGATATGAACACGGCAAATAAATAAATAAATAAATAAAAAATCCATCTCCCCCAGGGGGACTCGGTGCGACTTACATGAGGCCACACCCATCAATACAATACAAACAATATAACGCAAAAACATAATAGCAACAAAATTACATAAAATGCAAAACCAACATAATAAACAACACAACAATATAAAATCAAACATTAAAAACACAGAAGACTTCACTGGGCAAGGCAAAACTGAAGGATAAAAATTTTAAAACACTGGGAGATAGGACAAAATAAGTTATAGGGAAGGGGATCCGGGCATGAGGAGGATTTAATTGCACTAACCATAAAATAAAGTGCTTCTAAGGACATTTTGTGCAAAGTTTGGCCAGGGAGTTTCTCACATTTAATCACTGAAGGCACATTGGAATAGCCAGGTTTTCAAATTCCTCCTGAAGATGGCCAGCGTGGGGGCTTGCCTAATATCTCTGGGGAGTGAGTTCCAGAGTCGGGGGGCCACCACAGAGAAGGCACTCTCTCTCGTCCCCGCAAGTTGCAATATTTTGCATAAGGAGAATTCCACAAATTGCATAAAATTGTGCACACTTGCATAATATGGCATATGCCCCTCTCCATGAGAACACTTTCAAAATAATATGTTTTCAGACCTGAAGTGACACAACCACGGTGTTCGAGTGCGTTTGCACATGTCTTCCACTCTGGCTGCCTTTGGCCTTGACAAATTCCTGCAGTTGTGCGATTTGTTTGTTCAGGCTGTTGATGTCCTGTTGGGAGAAAAGAAATGCCTAAAGATGAGCATCGGCTAGATGAAGAAACCGGGAACCAACTGTGGGATGTTTTAAAATTAACAGACTTGGCACTTTGAAGCAAATGAAAATGAAATAGCAGAACTTCCTACCGACTGTCCTTTGGCAGAATCCCTCCTCTGTTTGCTATGTCCCCCAAATTCACATCTTAGTATTTAATACAGTAGGACAAAAGAGGAAGAGGAGTAAAGGTGAAATACCGATGATTCACTTAGTGTATATACTTGAGTATAAGCCAACCCAAATATAAGCCAAGCAACCCTATTTTACCACAAAAACCTGGGAACACATATTGACTCAAGTCTAAGCCAAGGGTGGAAAATGCAGCAGCTACTGTTACATTTTTAAAAAAAGATACCAACAAAATTACATTAATTGAAGCATCAGTAGGTACAACGGTTTTGAATAATTACATAAAACTGTAATTTAAGATAAGACTGTCCAACTCTGATTAAACCATGATTCTAACCTTACGTATCCTTCCAGTAATAATAAAGAGAATAAAATATAATTAAAAATAATAAAGTAATGAAAATGAAATAATAATAAATAGAGTAAAATAATAAGTGTAATAAAATAATAATAAAAATAGAGTAAAATAATGGAAATGTAATAATAATAAAGTAAAATGATAAATGTGATAATAACCATAATAATAGAGTAAAATAATTGAAATGTAATAATATTTATTTATTTATCTAGAACTTTTGTATCCCGTTCTTCTCTACCTCAGTGGAGGGACTCAATAATAGAAAAATAATAATAGAGTAAAATAATAAATGTGATAAAAACAATAACAGAGTAATGGAAATGTAACAATAATAATAACAGGAAAATAATGTAAAGGTAATAATAACAGTAATAGAGTAAAATAATAAATGTAATAAAAATAATAGAGCATGGTATACCATGATACACAGAAAATTTTGAAAATACAATTAAAAAAAAAAAACCAGAGTTCTTTCTGCTTGGAATGCTTGACTTTGAAGGGGACAAAAATATGGATATAATCTTTAACTACCTAATTACCGCAGCCCGAATTGTATACGCTAAGAATTGGAGAGAGAAGGAAATACCCCAAAGAGATGATTGGCAAAACAAAATATTGGAAATAATGAATTTGGACGAACTAACATATTGGTTATTGCCAAATGAAGGAATTCCAAAGAAACAAACAAATTGGGATTTAATAAAAAAGATACTTTAAACAACAAAAAATCGAGATTATTTTTTGAAAAGAATAAAACGATATAAGAGAAGAAACAAAACAAGGAAGTGATTCTTAACTTTGTACCCAGAAAAACTGGTAAAAGATCTTCTAAGGATAGATGGAAGCCCAACAAACAATATATTTCTTTCCCCCCTTTGGGTTTTTTTTTCAGATTGGGACAAACTCATCACAGAGACTATTCAAGATATGTGTGTGCGGTTTTTTTCTCTTACTCTTTTCCTACTTTTCTATCTCCTTCGCAATATTCCCCCACTTTCTATGTAACCACATAATACCAATAAAAATTATATTAAAAATAATAATAGAACAAAATAATATACCTGTAATAATAATAGAGTAAAATAAATAATAATAATAATAATAATAATAATAATAATAATAATAATAATAACAGAGTAAAATAATAATTAACCCTGACTTGAGTATAAGCCGAGGGGAGCTTTTTCAGCCTTAAAAAAGGGCTGGAAAACTCGGCTTATACTCGAGTATATATGGTACTTCCATTTTGCCCACTGCCTCAGAGGAAATCCTTACCTGCTTCACAATGTAGGTTAGCTCTTCTATCTCTATTGCCTTGTCATCAAACAGTGATTTCCGCTTGGCCACTGAAGTTGTAAAATGTCAGATTATTAATCATTACTCCTTCTTGAACTCTCCTTCCTAGGTGTTCTAAAACCTATTCAATCTTCCTGCTCAACAGGAAGCATCACTATAGCACAGCATGGGAGATACAGTTCATCTATTTATTCATTTATTTATTTATTTTATTAATCAGTTTTGTATACTGCCACTCCCCGAAGGCTTGGAGCGGTTCACAATATACACATGTAATACATAACATTTAAAATCAAGGAAGAATTCAATCAGCAAGGTTCAAATGCCAGCCTAAATAAATAAGTTTGCTGCCTACCCATCTATGATGGGTAGGCAGCAAGCTGAGAAACATCAACTTTCAAAAACTGCTAAGGCAGCGATTAAACTTTATTCTCAACCATGAACGTCTTCGGATCCTCTGCCGCATACACCCCAAGCATAGTATCCACAAATACCACCTACATATACTGGTTACTCTGGCCAAAAATTGAGCTTTTCACTGACATCAAATGGCACTGAAGATACCATAATCACATGCTTTTGGTACCTCTTCCCATTCTCTTCTGCCCTATCCATGTTCCAGATACTTACAGATTGTTAGCTTCTCTAGCTTGGCAAATGTATTGCTGAGGTCCTTCCCGATGCGCCTGAGGATTAGAAGAATTTGGCAAATCAACCACAACCATAACAACAACAAAAACTAAGACTCTATTCCCCAAAGATAGTGAAGTTTGCCCAGCGGGCACTTCAGCTCCCCACACAGTCTATTCTCCTGCTTGGAAGGGTTATTCTGAAGGAAAGAACTCCATCTGCACTTACTTGGCCATAACAGAGAATTCGCTTCTTTGACGTACAGCACTAAGCACCGGTTTGTTGAGCTGAAGCCCATTCTGAAAATGAGAAGATGGATAAAGGCTTCCCGGATTAGAAGACAAATAGATGGGATTCGTATGGGGTGGGGGTGGGGGGGTGGATTGTGAGTTTTAGATGCTATTTTAAGCATATCTGTTATATTTTAATCTATATTTTAACCTAAATCCACACTATAAATTAATTGTTCTTAACACTTGTTTTGTGTTTTGTTTTAAACTAAGACCAAAGTATAGCCACCTTGAGTCCCCACAGAAAGAAAGGCAGGGTATAAATAAAGTAAATAATAATAATAATATCTATATCTATATCTATATAAATGCTCTGTGCATAATGAGTGCCTTAAAAACAAAAGAACCAATGAACGAAATCACACCAAATTTGCTAACAAAACATCTCACAACACAAAGAGTGACCATCACTCAAAAAATTATGATTTTGTCATTTGGGAGTTGTAGTTGCTGGGATTTATAGTCCCTTACAATCAAAGAGCATTCTGAACTCCATCAATGATGGAATTGAACCAAACGTGGCACACAGCACTCCCATGACCAACAGAAAATACTGGAAGGGTTTGGTGGGCATTGACCTTGAGTTTGGGAGTTGTAGTTCATCCAGAGAGCACTGTGGACTCAAACAATGTTGGATCTGGACCAAACTTGGCACAAGCACTCAATACGCCCAAATATGAACACAGATGGAGTTTGGAGGAAATAGACCTTGACATTTGGGAGTTGTAGTTACTGGGATTCACAGTTCACCTACAATCAAAGAGCATTCTGAACCTCAAGAACAACAGAATCGGGGCAAACTTCCCACACAGAACCCCCATGACCAACAGAAAATATTTAAGGCCATCCAGTCCAACTCCCTTCACTAGGGCAAGAAACGCAATCAAAGCCCTCCTGACAAAGAGCCATCCAGCCATAGATATAGATAGAAATATATGATTCACACACAAAGATATAGATTTAAAAGGGACCCCTAAAGAAGGACAATCATATGTTGCATGTTCCACAGTAGGCAAACCAGACAAAGAAGCAGCAAGAAATACTGTTTACCCACAAGCATAAAGACATTACATATATCAGAAACCAACACTTTCTCATTACTCTATTTTCCAGATCACCAGACTGGCCTACAACACGTGCTAGGGGATGGCTAATAATAATAATAATAATAATAATAATAATAATAATAATAGAAAACCCATAGAGGCTCTTTTTATCAGTCCATCATCTCCCACATGAAACTGGCTACAATTATTTCTTTCAGTCTTAAAAACTTGCCATTGATTGGTACCTAAAAACTGCATAATAGTTGTCTACTACTCTCAGGACCAAAGGCTTACTGCTAAATTGCTGCTAAATCGAGCCTGAAATGAGCCAGCTTCATCCTGCACAGACTTCAGGAAGGGGCAACTCACCTGTCTGCTTTGCAAAGACTTGCAGGCTGAGAGGAACTCCTGGGTGCGATCTTGACAGGACATGGTGTCCCACTGGGGTGGGGACGGTGCAGTCGGAGATGCAGTGGCAGTATTGACAGTTGCAGCAAGTGGTGGTGGCAGGACTTGGGTCTGGGAAGGTCCCAGGTAAACGCCTTGCTCGGTGTTTCTAGAGCCGTGGCGTCTCCTCGTATACATGGAGGCTCATAACCTGATGCTAAAAGGATATAGAAGAGAGCCATCAACGCTCAACGGCTGAAATGGAAAACTCCATTCTTAAGATCTAAATGACTGACAAGAAATATATATGAGACCCTCCCAGTGATGTAACACCATTGTTTGGATGTGAGTTGTTGATCAACAACACTTTCTAATAAACGTTTCCATTGTCTTAAAAAATAAAATCCTCACTCTGGCCTATCTCACAAGAGTATTGTGAAGATAAAATAGAGAAATAGGTGCAATGGGGAAAGGTGGGATATAAATGAAATACATAAACACAGCAACGTTGTCCTGGTTGAAGCAGAACCTAAATATTATCACCACTATTCTGCTACAATCACCATACAGCAATTTTCTATACTCAGTTACCCAACAAATGGTAGGTGAAATAACTCTGTCTCCAGTTCTGGCCACTACAATTCAAGTAAGATATCAACAAGGTGGAGACTCTTCAGCTTGGACATGATTGTCATGACTGAATATTTGAAAAAGAGGTCTACTGAGGAGAGGGCAAGTAGACTAGGACACAATGGAGCAATGGGTTGAAACTGCAGAGGAAAAATCCATGTCCATTAGGAAGAACTTCCTGGTGGTAAGAGCCATTTCACAGTGCAATGTGCTGCCTTAGAATCACCTTTACCGGAGTTATTAAGCAAATGCTGGATGGCCCAGTTCACCTGTCCGAACGTATCTCCCACTATGATCCACCTCAGGCCCTAAGATCATCTGGGGAGATCCTGCTCATTGTCCCCCAATTGTCGCAATCGCGTCTGGCAGGGACAAGGGACAGGGCCTTTTCTGTGGTGGCCCCCTGGCTGTGGAACTCCCTCCCAAATGAAATTAGATCTGTTGCATCCCTCTTGACCTTCCGGAAACAAGGAAAATCCTGGCTATGGGCCTTTGGAGAATACGCTGACCTACTGATTTAGAACCGATGGACTGCCCTTGGATAATGATTTAAATCAGTGACTGCTGAGTATTTGTCTGTTTTCATATTGTTTTTATATTGTTTATACGGTTTTATATTGTTATTATTACATTACTGTTAATTGTATATTTATATTTTGATGTGGGCGCCATGGGGCGCCACTTTGTTAATCGTCCTGAGTCCCTCTGCAGAGGTTGAGAAAGGACGGGATATAAAAGCCCTAAATAATTTTATTTACTTATTTATTTAGAACTTTAGGTCTTCTCGACCTCCGAAGAGGGACTCACAACAAAAGATTCATAACAATAGTTTAAAACATCACATCCCATAATACACATAAATCCAGCAAAGACGGAGATCCTATGGCTGGGTCGACCGAGCAGTGGGGACATCCAGCTGCCTACCCTGGATGGCGAGGCGCTACACCCATCATCATTGGTCAAGAGACTGGGAGTCCTTTTGGACCCTCTGCTGACGATGGAGGCCCAGGTCTCCGCCGTGAGCAGAACCGCCTTCTTTCATCTGCGGCAGGCTAGACGGCTGGCCCCCTACCTGTCCAGGGACGACCTAGCTACGGTGATCCAGGCTACGGTCATCTCAAGACTGGACTACTGTAACGCCCTCTACATTGGCCTTCCTCTGTCGGTGATCCGGAAGCTCAAGTTGGTACAAAATGCAGCTGCTCGGCTTCTTGCGGGAATTCCGATGAGATGCCACATAACACCAATCTTACTACAGCTGCATTGGTTACCAATTGAGCACCGGATCACTTTCAAAGTGATGGTACTCACCTTTAAGGCCTTGCATGGTCTGGGGCCGATGTATCTGAGGGACCGCCTCACCCCCTACCAACCCCAGAGATCCCTCCGTTCTGAGGACCAAGATCTATTGGAAGTCCCCAGTGTCAAGACCTTGCGTCTAACAGCAACCAGACGCAGAGCCTTCACAGCAGTGGCACCATCATTCTGGAATACTCTGCCACCTGAAGTCCGTGCCTTGCGGGACTTATCAGCTTTCCGCAGGGCATGTAAGACATACCTGTTTCGACAGGCTTTTAATGTTTGATATTGTTGTTTTTAAATTGTTTTAAATTGCTTTTAAATTTTGTTAGATTTTAGCTATTCTTGTAAGCCGCTCCGAGCCCCAGGGGAGTGGCGGCATATAAGTTCAAATAATAAATAAATAAAATAAATAATGGTTATCTGTCGGAGGGCTTTGACTTTGGTGGATTTATAAGAGTTGTAGTTCGCCTATATCCACAGAGAACTGTAAATCCAAACAATGATGGATCTGGACCACACACGTCACACATACCAGATATGTGCACCAACTGCGCCCGTACCTTGGGAAGTCTGACTTGGCCACGGTAGTCCACGCTCTGGTTACATCCCGTTTAGACTACTGCAACGCTCTCTACGTGGGGTTGCCTTTGAAGACGGCCCGGAAGCTCCAATTAGTCCAACGTCGGCAGCCATGATACTAACAGGAGCGGAGCGCAGGGAGCATACCACTCCTCTGCTGCGCCAGCTCCACTGGCTGCCGATCCGCTACCGGGCTCAATTCAAAGTGCTGGCGTTGGCCTTTAAAGCCCTAAACGGTTCTGGCCCAAGTTACCTATCCGAACGTATCTCTGCCTATCAGCCTGCCAGGACCCTAAGATCTTCTGGGGAGGTCCTGCTCTCTATCCCGCCTGCTTCACAGGTGCGGCTGGTGGGGACGAGAGACAGGGCCTTTTCTGTGGTGGCCCCTCGGCTATGGAACGCCCTTCCCATGGAGGTAAGATCAGCTCCCTCGCTCATGGTGTTTCGTAGAAGATTAAAAACTTGGATGTTCGAACAGGCCTTTGATTAATCAGTGCAATGAATGTGACGATCACAGGAATTGAAATATGGACGATGAATTTTGGATCACGACTCTAGTTATGAGACGCATTTGGTTGTTGCTGTTGTGTAATATTGTGTATTGTGCTCTTTTGTTTTGAATTGTAGATTGTTGACTGTTTTTATCCTGTTGTAAACCGCGTTGAGTCGCCGGCTAGGCTGAGAAACGGCGGTATACAAATAAAGTAAGTAAGTAAATAAATAAATAAATATGCTGAAATTTCATTACTGGAGGGGTTTGGGGGGAACTGCCCTTCCTTTCTGGGAGTGGTAGTTCACCCACAACCAGAGAAACTGTGACCTTCACTGATGATGGACATAGACCAAACTTGGCACACAGAACCCCCACAAGCAACTCAACCTACTTGGAGGGCTTTGTGGGGACTGACTCACCACAGTGAAAGCTGTAATTTACCCTAGAGCCAGAGAGAACACTGAACCCCACCAATGATGCATCTAGAGCAAACTTGCCCAACATAATAAACTTGAACCGCTGATGGAGTTTCAGGGGGTTAACTTGACATGACGTGAGTTGTAGTTCACCCACAACCTTATGCGTTTTGTAAAATTAAAAAAAAACACTTTTTCAAATAACCCGGGCAATGCCAGGTACCCAAGTAGTAATAGTAATAGTAATAGCAATAATAATCATCATCATCATCTATATAAATAACTGGACACCCCTGCCTGGATGGCCCTTGAGGTCCCTTCAACCTCTAGGCCTGTGAGGTTGAATGGTTATCTATTAGGAAGCATCTGATAGTGTAGACACCATTAAATCCCTCCTGACAGATAACCCTTCTGCCAGAGAAGCCTGGCAGAAAAGGGTGGGATTAGATAGCCCTTGGATTCCCTTACAACTCCCAAGATTTTAAGCACAATGGCAGTACATGCTCAACTCTCTCTCTGTCCCCTTCTTTCCTTTGGAATTTTTTAAACAGTCTGGATGGCCATCTGTTGGGAGGGCTTGGATGGTGATGTACTGCCTGGCAGAAGCAGGTTGGGATCCCGTCCAATTCTAGGATTCTGTGACACCATGTGGTTCTATGTCAGGAGGGATTGAATGGGGAGAAGAGGGTTGGTTTTCATGGCCTCTGGGCTGCCTTCAGGTTCTAAGGTCGGTGATTTTTGGCCCCACACGTTCAGCTCCCCCTTATCTGGATTTTTTGGAACAGAGGCTGGATTGGAGGGGCATCTGTCAGGAGGCTTTGATGGTGCCTTCCTGCCTGGCAGAAGGGGCTCGGGCTAGGTGGCTTTGGGGGTCCCTTCCCACTCTAGGAACCCATCTGTGGGGCACCATCCGCAGGGGAAAGCGGCCTCCGGAGAGAGAGGCCTACCTCGCAGGGAGAGGCCTCGCCGAGAAGCGCCTCCCCGCTCTCCCACCCTCCCTCCCGTCCGCCACTCACCGGCCCCACAGGCCCAAATCCCACCGAGACGCCGCCGGACTCCGAGCCTCCGACACCGGCCGCCCTCCCCCGGAACCGAAAGGCCAAACAAGCGGACGTCACTGCCACGTACTCCCTCAGGCTGCCACGTCACACGCACGACGTCGAGAGTCCCCGCCCCACTGCATACGTCACGCCACTCGTCTCATTAGACTCAAAAAACGGAAGTTGCCTGGCAACAAGGAGGAAGCGGCGAGAAAGCGGAAGGGGAGGATCCGGCGGGATGTAAACAAGCCTCGCTTGGGAAGGGACTTCCGGTTGCCAAGGGTTTCTGGAATCGAGCCTCAAACTCAGGCGGAAGGCCTCAGTGCGCCAGGCAGGAAGACACCGCCAGAGCCCTCCTGGCATTTTGCAGCAATAATTTCATGTATTGTCGAAGGCTTTCATGGCTGGAATCACTCAGTTCTTGTGGGTTTTTTCGGGCTATATGGCCATGTTCTAGAGGCATTTCTCCTGACGTTTCGCCTGCATCTATGGCAAGCATCCTCAGAGGTAGTGGTGTGACCTCACTACCTCTGAGGATGCTTGCCATAGATGCAGGTGAAACGTCAGGAGAAATGCCTCTAGAACATGGCCATATAGCCCGAAAAAACCTACAAGAACCTAGTGACAAAGACCCCATCACCATTTTATTATCCACTAGCCGTCTCCTGCCAGGCGTTGCTGTGGCCCAGTCTGGTGATCATGAGGGTTCTGTGTGGGAGGTTTGGCCCAATTCTATTGTTGGTGGGGTTCAGAATGCTCTGTGATTGTAGGTGAACTATAAATCCCAGCAACTACAACTCCCATATGTCAAGACTCTATTTTCCCCAAACTCCACCAGTGTTCACATCTGGGCATATTGAGTAATCGTGTAGAGTTTGGTCCAGATCCATCATTGTTTGAGTCCACAGTGCTCCCCGGATGTAGGTGAACTACAACTCCCAAACCCAACGTCAATACCCACCAAACCCTTGCAGTATTTTCTATTGGTTATGGGAGAACTGTGTGCCAAGTTTGGTTCAATTCCAGAATGCTCTTTGATTGTAGGTGAACTATAAATCCCAGCAACTACAACTCCCAAATGACAAAATCAATGTTTTTGAGTGAAGAACATACATTAGGTTGTTAGGTGTCTTGTGCCCAAATTTGGTGTCAATTCATCCAGTGGTATTTGAGTTCTGTTAATCCCACAAACAAAAATTGCATTTTTATTTATATAGACTAGCCGTCCGTCCCCTGCCACACATTGCTGTGCCCCAGTCTGGTTATCTGTTGGTCATGGGAGTCCTGTGTGCCACATTTGGTTCAATTCCATCATTGGTGGAGTTCAGAATGCTCTTTGTGGATGTACTATAAATCCCAGCAACTACAACTCCCAAATGACAAAATCATTTTTTTTAGTTATTGTGTCCAAATTTGGTGTCAATTCATCCAGTAGTTTTTGAGTTATGTTAAGCCCACAAACGAACATTACATTTTTATTTATATAATTATGATTATAGAATCCTAGAGTTTGAAACATAATAAAACTTGATAAAATAGTGAAGAGTAGAGACACACACTGAGCAAAGATCCGCATAGTTAAACCAATGGTATTCCCTTAGTCACCTACGGATGTGAGAGCTGGACCATAGGGAAGGCTGAGTGAAGTAAGATAGATGCTTTTGAACTGTGGTGCTGGAGGAAAGTTCTGAGAGTGCCTTGACCAGAAGATCCAACCAGTCCATACTTCAGGAAATAAAGCCTGACTGCTCATTGGAGGGAAAGATAGTAGAGGCCAAGATGAAGTACTTTGGCCACATCATGAGAAGAAAGGAAAGCTTAGAGAAGACAATTATGCTGAGGAAAAAGGAAGAGGGGCCGACCAAGGGCAAGATGGATGGATGGTATCCTTGAAGTGACTGGATTGACCTTGAAGGAGCTGAGGGTGGTGACAACCAACAGGGACCTCTAGCGTGAACTGGTCCAAGAAGTCACAAAGAGTCGGAAACGACTGAACGAATGAAGTCACGAAGAGTCGGAAACGACTGAACGAATGAACAACAATAATAACAACAACAGCCTGGATAAGTAGATGAGATATTTGAGTCATAGAATTCTAAATTTTGAAAGGACTCCAGTGGCCATCCAGTCCAGCTCCTTTCTTCCAGGCAGGAAGACACCACCAAAGCCCTCTTGACAGATGACCATCCAGCCTCTGATTAAAAATCTCCAGAGAAGGAAAACCTGTCACCATCATTATTGTTTGTTGTTTATTCGTTCAGTTGCTTTTGACTCTTCGTGACCTCCTGGACCAGCCCACGCAAGAGCCCCCGTCAGCCGTGGCCACCTGCAGCTCCTTCAAGGACAAGCTAGTTACTTCAAAGATGCTATCCATCCACCTTGCCCTTGGTCGGCCCCTCTTCCTTTTTCCTCCCATTTCCCCCAGCATCGTCTTCTCCAAGCTTTCCTGTCTTCTCATGATGTGGCCAAAGGACTTCCATCTTTGCCTCTAATATCCTTCCCTCCAGTGAGCAGAAGGGCTTTCTTTCCTGAAGTATGGACTGGTTGGATCTTCTGGCAGTCCAAGGCACTCTCAGAACTTTCCTCCAACACCACAGTTCAAAAGCGTCTCTCTTCCTTTGCTCAGCCTTTCTTATGGTCCAGCTATCACATCCATAGGTTACTATGGGGAATGCCATGGCTTTAACTATGTGGATCCTTGTTGCCAGTGTGATGTCTCTACTCTTCAATATCAAGATTGGTCACTGCTCTCCTCCCAAGAAGGAACCATCATTATTGTAAATTATTATTATTATTGAATCCTAGAGTTGGAAGACACTCCAAGAGCTATCCAGTTCAACACCTTTCTATTACGAGGGGCATTCATTAAAGGTTTCCCCTGAACCACTTCTATTTATCACAGAATGCTGAAACTGCACATGTGTAATGATATAAGTCTCTGTAGGTTACATGCCAATGTATAACTCTGAACTGAGAACGGACTTGATTTGACAGGTGCTGAAGTGGTGTGAGGTTTGATCATGGACCCAGTGAAATACAGAGCAGCCCTCAAGTTCCTTGCCTTAAAAGGCTGCACAGCAAAGGAGACATTCGATGAGATCAGAGGTTGATAGTGAGGATTCCCCATCATAGTAAGCACTCCTGTCCATTGTCGCATCTAACCGGGCTGACATTTGGAGACAGAGATCCAGGAGCACTCCCTAGCTGTAAACACAGTCTTTCTGGGGGAATGTAACTTCATCCAGGACTGGGTGACACACCTCCACCCACAGATTAGGAATCCTAATGGCAAGCGCCTCTGTTTTGTCTGGATTCAGATTTATTTATTTTATTTATTTATTATTTAAACTTATATGCCGCCACTCCCCTGGGGCTCGGAGCGGCTTACAAGAATAGCTAAAATCTAACAAAGTTTAAAAGCAATTTAAAACAATTTAAAAACAACAGTATCAAACATTAAAAGTCTGTCGGAACAGGTATGTCTTACATGCCCTGCGGAAAGCTGGTAAGTCCCGCAGGGCACAAACCTCAGGTGGCAGAGCATTTCAGACTGATTTGTTTTTCCTCATACAGCCCATTACTTCCTCCAGGCATTCTTTCAAAGGAAACATGCTATCCTTAGCTGAAGCTGATTTAGAAGGCATGAAGAAATATATTTGGGTGTAATCAGCATACCTGTAACACTGCACCCATACCTACAGATCCCTCCCAGTGACTGCTTTGAGGATAGAATGGCACCTTGTGGGACACCACGTAACAGCTCCCTTTTCGAGGAGCAGCTATTCCCAAGTGCCACCATCCAGAATCCAGAACCAATGTCTCCAATTCCCAGCCTCCCCCATAGGCATTCCAGAAAGGTTTCCCCAATACCACGGTATTGAAGGCTGCTGAGCAGTCTAGAAGCACCAACAGGGACACACTCCCGTTGGTGTTGAGATGGAGATCCAGTACAACAATAGCAGTCTCAACTCTGTATCCTGCTCTGAAGCTGGTTTGAAATGAGTCGAGGAAGTGTGTAGCATCCAAGACCACCTGGAGTTGGAAGGCAACTGCCTTCTCAATCACCTTGCCCAAAAAAGAAACGTTGGACACTAGTCTGTAGTTATCAAGGACCAAGGTGATTCATGCCATATGCCAGCAAATATGGAAAACACAAGAATGGCCATCAGATTGGAAAAATCAACTTACATCCCCATACCAAAAAAGGGAAACGCTATAAGATGCTCAAACTTTTGTACAGTGGCGTTTATTTCACATGCCAGTAAGGTAATGCTCAAGATCCTGCAAGGTAGACTCCAGCAATACATGGAGAGGGAGTTGCCAGATGTACAAGAGACCAAATTGCCAATATCCACTGGATAATGGAGGAAGGCAGGGAGTTTGAGATAAACATCTATTTCTGTTTTACTGATGATTCTAAAGTCTTTAACTGTGTGGATCATAATAAATTGTGGCAAGTTCTTGGTGGTCTGGGCATACCAAATCACCTTGTCTCTCTCCTGAGGAATCTGTATAAGGACCAAGTAGCAACAGTAAGAACAGAACACAGAACAACAGATTGGTTCAAGATTGGGAAAGGCGTACGGCAGGGCTGTCTACTCTCACCCTCCCTATTCAACTTGTATGCAGAACACATCATGCGACGTGTGGGGCTTGACAAACCCAAGGCTGGAGTTAAAATAGCTGGAAGAAACATTGATAACCTTAGATATGCAGATGATACCACTTTGATGGCTGAAAGCAAGAAGCAGATGAGGAGCCTTATAACCAAGGTGAAAGAAGAAAGTGCAAATGCTGGGTTGCAGTTAAACATAAAAAAAACCAAGATGATGGCAACTGGACTGATGGATAACTGGCAAATAGAGGGAGAAAACATAGAGGCAGTGACAGACTTTGTATGTGTAGATATGAAGATGACTGCAGATGTGGACTGCAGACAGGAAATCAGAAGATGTTTCCTTCTTGGGAGGAGAGCAAGACCAATCTCGATGAAATAGTGAAGAGTTGAGACATCACACAGGCAACAAAGATCTGCCTAGTTAAAGCAATTATATTCCCCATAGTAAGCTATGGATGCAAGAACTGGACTGTAAGGAAGGCTGAGCAAAG